TAAAGGAGGAGGAAGAAATGGGGCGTCTACCAAAACGTAACACCAGCTACAAAGTAAACAAGCTACAAACAAATCAAGACCCAGCAAGAGGTCTAGAAGCCTCTGCAGGTGCTGGGAAGAGGAGTTGCGGTTTTCCTCTCCTGGCCAGTCGGCCTCTGTGGAGTGCGAGGTTGGCCTGTCTGCCTCTGCCCCCACGTACCGCTCTGTCTTCTTCCACGGCCCACTGCCTCTCCAGCTCCAGGCATCGGGGCTCTCCCCAGACCGCATTACTTAAATAGCATTATTGAGGTCTGATCGCATACGATAAACTACAAATACTTTGAATTTTTTCAAATTTGATGTTTGACATATGTACATGCCCATGAAATCATCACTAAAATCACCACTACAGAGAGTGAACACATCCATCCCCCCCAAATGTTTGCTCACTGACTTCGAATTTTGAGTCATTGTCAGAGAGACACAACGACACAGGGATGGCAACAGTAAGTCCTGGGGCAGGGTGCTGGGGGCATCTTGATCTCACTGTTCCTGAAGCTGGCTTTGCTGGCTTCCTAGCTACCAGCTCCCCTTGGGTACGTGGAAGCACTGACCTGGCTTTCCAACTTCTTCATCAATTCCATGAACAGCCCCCCACCCATCCCAATAGTCTTTCAGTGTTGCTTAAGCTACACAGAGCTGGTCTCTGTTGCTAGTGACCTAACACCTCAACCGACAGATGGTGGAGGGGGAGGTGGTTGGAAACAGGTCACTGGCTAGAGAATTCTCAGCAGGGACCACCCAGGGTCTTCACATCCATTAAGATGCGGTGCCCAGGGTTCAGCTCCTCTGTGGGCCATTTACAACTCTCAGCAGGGGGCTGCCCAGGACCAGGACCAGAGCCCCAGCTCAGCTCTCCCACTGACCTCTCTCACATGGGAGCTCACAGGTCCCAGGCTGCCACCACCCCTGCCTGCTGATGTAACAATAACAGTGAGGCAACCACTCAATAATGGTTGAGGCAGAGCAGAGAGGAGGGCGGCGGTGCAAGCTGTCCGGTTGGCAGTGCCTGAATTTTGAATCCTACTCCTGTCACTTTTAGTTGCATGTACTCAGGCCTCTCCTCCTTCATGTGTAAAATATAGCTGCACCTACCTCGCAGGTTGTGCTGGGGTCGATGAGATGATGCACACAGAGCGCATGTTAGGTCTGCGCCTAACTGTTTTAAGGGTACTTGGGATTTCCTAAACCACGCATGGTATGATGCGCAGACACAGGAGTGATTGTCTGGAAGGAAGAAGTCTGTTATACATACTGACCGCTAGAAGCAGGCGACACAGCACGCCGGGCAGGGCCACGTGGGGACATGCCAGGGTTGGGTCAAGAGGCAGAGAGGAGCAAGGGGAAGTGGTGAGGCAGGGTGAGCAGATTTAGGATTGGCTAGTTTGAATAATTGGCTCTGGGACAGAGGGGCTGTCCCTAGTTGTCTGGTACCTGGCCCTGGGCTGATTAGGTCTAGGAGTTAGTGGCCTGGAGTATAAGGGTCTGATAAAGGATGTGGACTGGCTGGTTTGTGTATGAAAGTCACATCCACAGGCGGGCAAATTGTTCACTATCTCTAAGAATTGGCCACTGCTAGGGGAAGTCCCCCCAGGGTCAGCAAGGCCCCAGACATCAAAGCATGAAAATACAGAAAAAAAAAGACATGGCCAATACACTGAGGAACACATTTTCATTCCACTGGCCATGCGCCATATGCCCACAGACATTATCTTGTGCATCCTGACACAGCCCTGTGAAATTGTTTTGATCATCTTTTTCACACTTGAAGAAATTGTGGGTCAGGGAGATCAAGCCATTGACCCAGAGTTACAAATCCAGGAAGTGGCAGAGCTGGAGTGTGAAGCTGTCTGACCTCCCAGCCTGTGTTCCTACGCTCTGGGCTGTACCACACATAGGCCCTTGCTTGAGTCCTCTGGCCTGGGTGGGCACTCACAGGCCTCATTTTTGTCAACACATAGGTCTCAGCTTTGTCCTCGGTTTTCATCAGGCCTTGCCATTTAAAGTGGCTTTGAAAGAAAATGTTGGAAAAATTCTTATAGACATTGGCCTAGGCAAAGAATTTATGAAGAAGACTCCAAAGGCAATCACAGCAACAACAGAAATGAATAAATGGGACCTAATCAAATTAAAAAAATTCTGCACAGCCAAGGATACTATCACGGGAGCAAACAGATGAGCTACAGAATGGGAGAAAATATTCACATGCTACACATCTGATAAAGGGCGATAACTAGAATCTATATAGAACTCAGGAAAATCAGCAAGAAAAAAATCAAAAAACCCTATCAAAAAGTGGGCAAAGGACATGAACAGAAACTTTTCAAAAAAAGACACAATAATGGGCAACAAACATATGAAAAAATGCTCAACATCTCTAATCATCAGGGAAATGCAAATCAAAACCACAATGAAATATCACTTATCTCCAGTGAGAATGGCCTTTATTAAAAAGTCCCAGGCCGGGCGTGGTGGCTCACACCTGTAATCTTAGCACTCTGGGAGGCCGAGGTGGGTGGATCGCTCAAGGTTAGGAGTTCGAGACCAGCTGGAGCAAGAGTGAGACCCTGTCTCTACTCAAAAATAGAAAGAAATGATCTGGACAACTAAAAATATATATATAGAAAAAATCAGCCGGGCATGGTGGCTCATGCCTGTAGTCCCAGCTACTTGGGAGGCTGAGGCAGAAGGATCGATCACTTGAGCCCAGGAGTTTGAGGTTGCTGTGAGCTAGGCTGACGCCACGGCACACACTCTAGCCCGGGCAACAGAGTGAGACTCTGTCTCAAAAAAAAAAAAAAAAAGTCCCAAAACAATAAATGTTAGCGTGGATGTGGAGAGATAGGAACACTCATACACTGCTGGTGGGACTGCAAATTAGTACAACCTCTGTGGAAAGCAATATGGAGATACCTCAAAGGGATACAAGTAGAACTACTATTGGATCCAGCAATCCCATTACTAGGCATCTACCCAAAAGAACAAAAGACATTCTGTAAAAAAGACATCTGTACTCGAATATTTATAGCGACACAATTCACAGTTGCAAAGATGTGGAAACAACCCAAGTGCCCATCAATACATGAGTGGATTAATAAAATGTGGTATATGTATACCGTGAAGTTCTACTCAGCCACAAAATCCATGGTGATCCAGCACCTCTTGTATTATCCTGGATAGAGCTGGAGCCCATTCTACTAAGTGAAGTATCACAAGAATGGAAAAACAAGCACCACATGTACTCACCATCAAATTGGTATTAACTGATCAACACTTAAGTGCACATATAGTAATAACATTCATCAGGTGGGAGGAGCAAAGAGGGGATGGGTATATTCATACCTAATGCGTGCGGTGTGCACCATCTGGGGGATGGACATGCTTGAAGCTCTGATGCAGATGAGGCAAAGGCAATATATGTAA